CTCACAAAAATCCGCCACTAGAAAGAATAGAGAGGGCAAGCCGATTTTAGAAGTGTGACATTTCTCTCAAAGTTTATTCCAAATGCATTTGGTGTTGTTTGAGACATTTGAGGCATCACACTTAGGGTGCTAGGCTCACAAGGTTTTCAAGGAATACAAATTACTACAAGGTATGTATTTCTAGCTATCTTTTATGATTAAAGTTCCCCATGTATGCTAGATAGGATTAAGAACCTTGGAAATCAACTTTTGCATGTATTTAGACAAACATAGATCCAAGGTTTCTAGGGTTTCATGTACACCTTAGGAGTGTTAGAATGCTCAAAACCATATAGCAAGGCGATAAGGTGCCTTGGCAATAGGCACCGCTTCCGAAACCAAATCAATTCGGAACTCCACCTGCCTCTCGGGAGGGAAACTCAGTAACTCCTCAGGAAAAACATCTGGAAATTCACTCACTATCAGAACCTCAGTGATGAAACTTGATCTCTTGGAAGCAACTCGCATATCCATCACATACACTATAAAACCCCTACACCCTTGCTGAAGACTCTGTCTCGCTCTAGAAGCCGAGCAAAATGTTGACCCAGATCAGGTACCCTCACCATATACTGTAACCACTCCCCCACTAGGGTCTTTTATGGTCACCAACTGACGCTCACAGTCGATCACAACTCCGAATCGACTCAACCAGTCCATCCCCACGATGACACTGACATCCCCCATCGCAATCGGTACCAGATCTATTGGAAACTCGACTCTAAAAATCTCAAGCACACATCCTCGGATCACATCAATCGCAAACACCGCACGCTCATCGACTATAGAGACTCTCAGAGGTTGACTCAACACCTCTCACTGGATACTAATGTGATGACTAAATGTTAAGGATACGAAGGATCGACTCGCACCTGAGTGAAAATGAAAATTTGGATACCCTACTCGAGTCTTCCAAATCTTCGTCCACTAGTGAGGACCCCTTTGAAGCTCAAAAAGAGATGATTGAGACTCTTACCAAGGATCATGCCAAAATCCTTGATGCCTCTACCAAAGCCGTTGAAAACTCAGAGAAGACAGTTCATGAAACGACTGAAAAAGTTAAGTAACTACTTGCAAATGTCACTCAGTTTATGGAGTACTTTTGGAGTTCCTTTGATAAAAACATGAAGGCTGTGAAAAAGGTAATTACAAGTCTCAACAACACTCTTCAAACAAAGAAAGACACTTTATCCAAAGTTCATTTAGAACTTCGAGTGGACAATGTGGAGATGAGTGCCTCCATTGTTTCGAAAAATGAGAAGTTACATGCAGATCATGCAATCGAAAATAAGATCATGGATAAGCTCACTGTGGAGACTGAAAAGGTAAAGGTTCTTTCAGTTCACCTTGAGAATACCAACCAATAGCTTGATGCTTTAAAGTTTGAAAAAGCCGTTCTCCAGAGATGTGTCGCATATCTCAACCTTTTCTTGCAAAATCTAGTGGAGACTCGTGACTCGTTACTCACGGTCTCGGTTCGCCAACATCTCACTGACAAACTCAAACCAGTATTCTCCATGCGTAATCATATTGAGGGCATTTCAAAAGCTGGTACCTTTTTGAAACAAGGGGGAGAATCTAAGAAGCCATCTGATGAAGAACCCAAGAAACCTGCTGATGTGTCACAACCCCAAACCAAGGATAGTGGAAATGTCCGGGGGTGGAGGACTTCATGTATAGTATCACAATAATGAGTATAATAGTGCTCAAAGTAAGTACAACGATTATAAATATAATTGAGAAAGTTACATGATTTCACAAGATTACATGTTTCAAAATCGATTACAATATAATGACAAAAATATTTTCCCTGGCACCGTAGCATCCCATCCTTAAAAGCTGGTAGTTACATGTTTGACTGGTTTCTTAAGAAAACAAGGAGTTTTGAAAAAGTGTCAACAATTAAGTTGGTGAGTTCATAAGCTTTTGGATGTAGAGTTTGAAAACATTTGTTTGCAAATGAAATGTATAACCATGAAAAATCCAATATTTTCCTTATAAAATGTTATGTAGTCTTAAATCCGAAGACCGAGTGTATGCATGTTATTTCGTACTTGTAACAATGTATGTAGATTTAAATAAATAAATCCCTTTAACGTAAAGATCCCCGTAAAATATATGAGTCATTATCTCCCTATGTGAGTCGCTATAACCATACTATGACAGAGAGGACCTGCTGCAACGTTCTTTAGGCATCGGAAACGAAATGACATTTGTCACCCCGACCGCCCGATTGGGCTATTGCATGTAGCATGGGTGTGGGTTTCAATCCCAATATGATCTATATAAAATTATCATGCTCTCCCTACCAGAGACTCTGGTTATAACTCTTCAGGAATTTTAATCCGTACTCTATGAGTACAATGAAGACTAGTCTAACAATTTAAGATAACGAGTTTATGTGTAGTATGCGTGAAAAACCTTTTCTGTGGTGGAATTGTAATCCCTCTTTTTCTAGTATGTTTGTAATGTGAAATCCATAAACTATACCCTTTTATAGTTTATCATATAGATTTTGAGCAGCCTGTTTGTATTTAGTGTAAAACCCTTTTCTGTGTAAGTAGTAGTTTAGCAAAACATAACTATACTTATTATGTTTCATTTTGTATTGTTTGTAATGACAAAGGACTCTTACAATTTAGTGAGTAATTTCTGTTATTTAAATGTAACTCAACAGAAAACACATGTAAAATATGAAGTCATCAAGGATAAACACTTTGCTCAACATGTTACAAATTATTATAAAAGTTGTAAGCTGCTTAACTAGTTTTTAACTTTTCTGCACTGTTTTAGAAAAATCACAGAAAAATCATACGAAGTTGAAAACTAAAGTCGTGAACTTTGAGAGTTTATAAAATGTGTCTAATTTGTTCATAATTTTTATTATGATTTTTGGTGATCTCTAACTTATGTAAAAATGTTCAACTTCACAGACTGGTCCGAAGTTGTGGCTACAATGATAGACACTTTTGTATAAATCACCATAAATTGTAGAAAACTCGTATGAACATGTGCAATTAGTCATTTTAAAGTCATAAACCTAAACTGTTTTAATATTAAACAGTTTTGAAATACTTTAAGTTTAAGTTGGTCAAAAAAGTTCGTGAATGAACCTTAACTATTCTATTGAAGGCTATCATTTGGGTTAAAGCATGTTTTTGATGTGGTGACTTGTATTCTCCCACATAATACTAGTTAAAAACGTGAAAAGAAGGGGGTATGAACTCACCTTGACTGATTTCTTGGGATGGATGATGAAGAGAAGAGGTTTCCAAGTCAAGAACACTTGGAGGATGCTTGAAGATTTGAAGATCCTAAGAAGAAATATGTCGATATTTTTGTAATAAATCCATGATTTGAGTGAAGGTGTGTAGAATGTTCAAATGTGGGATGAAAATACTTAACAAAAGTGAGTGAAAAGCTCAATATCAGCCTTGAAATCTCGAGTTTTAGAGAGGGAAAGTGAGAGAGATACGTTTGCTTTTTAGTGAAAGAGTGAATATTATGGGAGGAGACATAAGGATTTTTTCCATCCTTTGATCAAGATAACTTGCTGGAGAAGTGTGTAAGAGGACAAATAGTTGACTAGCTAGAGATGAATAGTCACTGGAGGTTGTCATAGAGTGGGTATGGGAGATAGCTTGTGTTATTACTTTATGGAAAAGTCAACACTCATAATCATATATTGGACAAAAATAATATTCATAGATAAATATTTCCCCCAAAATGTGATTAAAATATGAATATATAGGGTCTTATATGTCAAAATATGAGTCTGGGTGAAAATCCCACGTTAAAATCATGAAAAACGATCTTAAAACACGAAAGTAGTCGAAAACCGGAACCAAGAGGCGAACATGCGAAGTTCGGTCTCTAAGAACCGAGAGGAGGCTCGATCCAAGCAGAATCGCAGGCGAAACTCGTCAGTGGGGGAACCGAAAGTGAAGGCAGGCAGGGGTATACGAGAAACGAAGGAGAAGGAGAAGGAGAAACGATCCAAATCGAAAGTGGGTTCGGTCCTCAATAGTTTGGTATTCAGCAGTTTGGTCTTCAGGGTTTCGGTCCGAAAGAGACCTTCGTCTTCGGCTCTTAAGCAACTTTGGCTCTGGCTTTGGCTCTTTAGAGTTCGGTTCTGATAGGGACCTTTGGCTTTGGCTCTTAATAACTTTGCTTCTTAGGGTTCGGTTCCAAGGGTTTCGGCCCTAAATAACTATTTTTCGTATAAACATCCCATTTTAAGTGGTTTTTTTTACTAAGTTAAGGGTCGGGATGCCCCAAGTGATTATAAAAATTTGAGAGAGGTTGTGAGAGAGATTTGGGAGAGATTAGAGAGAGTGAGAGATAGATAGATTGAGAGGGATTTAGTTTGTGACCTTTGCGAGTGTTTAGCTCCGAAATGCAAGGTTTGTAAACCCCATTAAGCCTCGTTATGAGTGTTAAACACCCCCGAAGGGTATGTACTAATGTTTTATCGAGTAGTTCCATCACTTACCCTGATTAGGGTTTAGATTTTTCAGACACATGAAAACTGAAAGTGATACTTTGCATTAAGATAGTGTGTTGTACAATAGTAAACATAATGTAAACCCTAATATATAAGGGTTAATTGAGTTGATTGGTTTGACTTGTTGGCTTTACTTGACTTTAACTTGGCCAAAAATTGATGGTTGTCACATGATGAATATGGTGAGTACAAATATAAGCCAAAACCAAAATCAAATCATTTGAATGGTAATGAAACTTTAGGATCGAAAGGAAAAGGCAAGTTGGTTGTCGTTGATGATGATGATGACGATGATGATGAAGATCTATCGAATGGGACTAAGCTTAAAAGAAAGAAATGTGACTAAGAAATTTATGAGAATCTGCGGGTTGCAAAAGAAGATGAAGCTCGGGAAAAGGAGGATCATGATGCTCAAGTCACACTCAAAACTCAGAAGGTCCTCTTCCCTCCTTGGTTAATGGAGAGAATTTTGAACGAAGCTATTGACAATCCAAATGTTTACTGGTTGGAGCTAGTTGCTTTGTTTGAAATGGAAAACACTTCCGAGTCTCAGCTCGATCTTCCGATCACTCCGAAGGCATTTTTATTCCATTGTTTTGATAAGGTTGAGAAAGCTCATGATTTAGATAACGATGCCAATATCATGCTTATCTCCTTTTATCTTAATCATGGAAAGCCCCAATATCAAACTTGGAATTCAAAGAAGATTACTTCTGTGAAATTCATTGGTCCGATTGAAACAAAAAGCATCATTAATGCTCGGTTTAAAGCATCACGAGGGCCAAGCAAATCAATCTTTGAATTCACCCTTGTATATTTGTCGTGCCTTAATCCATATGATTGGATTTCTTTGTTCAATCTTTTATCTAAAGATGAACATAAATTCGTACCTATTATGGCGCATCTGAAAAGGATGTTGATCTCTTACATTCATGAAATCAGGAAAATGGATGTGGAGATAACGGTTGAACTCCAAAAGAAACCCACGGTGCAACCAAAAGAAGCTCCGAACGATGTCTCCAAGATGAAACTCAAAAAAATCCATAAGGATAATTGGAGCATGGGGTTTCAAGAAAATGCTAGATATGGTACGAATGTTCAGAAGTGATTATTTTCCTTACCCGACAAGCATCTTTATTCTACTTCTTGTTTGAACTACATTGTGGGGATTACTGAACAATGCAAGGTGAATGATGTTGCGGATAAGAAGTGCTTCATAGATATGAACAAATGGTATATCATAGTTCGCAACTCCTTTCTTGCATTAATGCCGAAACTTTTCAAGGTACAGAAGCGCCAACAACACTGAAGAATTTCCTTCCTTAGTTAACACAAAGGGGGAGATTGTTAGGTTATTTATAGTGTTGTATAAAATTTAATATGTATGTATTTAGCCTTTATTAACTGGATTGGGCTTATCCATCGATATTTGTGGTGCTAGGGTTAGACTATAAATATTGCATGCATGTTTTGTATTAGGGTGGATCGATTGTATTGCCCGACATCGTCTTTACAGAGAAGTTCACATAGAACTCTTCTAAGACTTTGATAATATAATCATTCAACACCTTTTTGATCAATTGTTCTTCTTGTTTGATTCACTTTTCTTTTAAAGGATCTGTAGATCTAAGTTTATTATTTAAACAAAAATTAGCTTGGTACTCTTAATGTCATTTATCATCTACTCAATGTGCTGGTTAACCACATGCGCTCCATTAAGCAATGATAATTTACGAGACACCCATTTCCAATAATAATAGTCCATATTAGTGTGCCGGTTAACCACACACGCTCCACTAACGACAAATAAAGTGCAATGTGCAATTTCATGGGTTAACATCAAGTTCACATTTTTCCTAAAGTAACTAAGAGTGAGATTTTAGAAAATAGTTTAGTTACTTTATATCATTATACTTTTAATGAGATCATGTCCTATCAAACCTGTCGGCTAACAACCCTCCACCATAAAAGAGAGTGGTGGGTAAGAATGGATATCCAATGACAGTCATTTTATAGGCTGCTTCGTTAAACTCCCCTTATAGTATGGCTTCGTGAATGAGACGTACTAGCGGTTTGACTAATTTTTCATATACATATAATATATATTAGACTTTTAATTATATACATAGTATAAGGTGTATTTTAAAATATTTTTAAAATAGCAAGGGTTTAATCCGTTAATAAATTAAACTTTTTAACTTAAATTTAAACCAATTTATGGATTTATTAATTATCTTTTAATAAATCACTTAATTAAATTAATAATAAAATCCATAAGGTTGTATTTTAAACTTTTTAATTACTCGAGTTTTTAAATCTTTATATTTCAAAATTTAAAACAATTTTTATTTAAATTTAAAATTCAAAAACTTTGATTTACTAATTATCTACTAAGTAAACCTTTAATTAATTTATTAAATCATTTGGGGATTATCCATTAAATTAATCAAAATAATTTAACCTAATCCGTATACCCTAAATTTGAAAAATATGGGAGGGATAATTATAAAATCCTATAATTATCTAGTTAAATAATTAAGATGATAATTACCAAAAATAACAACCTCCAATCCCCTAATTTTCGAAATTACCATATATTGGGGAGGAAGGCAAGGCTTTCAATCATTGCCATATTTTTGGAAAACCCTAGGGTTAGAAAACCCTAAATTGTAACATCCCGGGATTTCAGGTATTTTCGAATCCTCCCTTTATTATTATCTTTGTCATTTTTAGTCCTAGGGAATAGACGATTGTATTGCCCGACATCGATTTTATAGAGAAGTTCATACAGAACTCTTCTAAAACTTTGATAATATAATCATTCAACACCTTTTTGATCAATTGTTCTTCTTGTCTTATTCACTTTTTTTTAAAGGATATGCCGATCTAAGTTTATTGTTTCAACAAAAATTAGCTTGCTACTCTCAATGTCATTTATCATCTAATGATGTGCTGGCTAACCACATGCGCTCCATTAATCAATGATAATTTACAAGACACCCATTACCAATAATAATAGTCTATATTAGTGTGCCGGTTAACCACACACGCTCCACTAACGACTAATAAAATGCAATGTGCAATCTCATGGGTTAACATCAAATTTACATTTTTCCTAAAGTAACTAAGAGTGGGATTTTAGAAAATAGTTTGGTTACTTTATATCATTATACTTTTAATAAGATTATGTCCTATCAAACACATTCGGCTAACGACCCTCCACCATACAAGAGAGCGGTGGGAAAGAATGGATACCAAATAATGGTCATTTTATAGGTTGCTTCCTTAAACTCCCTTATAGTTTGACTTCGTGAATGAGGTGTATTAGCGGTTTGACTAATTTTTCTTATACATATAATAAATATTAAAATTTTAATTGTATACATAGTATAAGGTGTATTTTGAAATATTTTTAAAATAACAAGGGTTTAATTCTTTAACAAATGAAACTTTTTAACTTAATTAAATTTAAACCAATTTATGGATTTATTAATTATCTTTTAATCAATCACTTAATTAAATTAATAATAAAGTCCATAAGGATGTATTTTAAACTTTTTAATTACTCGAGTTTTTATAACTTTAAATTTTGAAAATTAAAACAGTTTTAATTTAAATTTAAAATTCAAAGAGTTTGATTTAGTAATTATCTATTAATTAAACATTTAATTAATTTATTAAATCATTTGGTGACGATCCATTAAATTAATCAAAATAAGTTAACCAAATCCCTATCCCTTAAATTTCAAAAAAAACGGGAGGGATAATTATAAAATCCTATAATTATCTAGTTAACTAATTAAGTAGATAATTACCAAAAACAACAACCTTCCAATACCATAATTTTTGAAATTACCATATCTTGGGGAGGAATGCAAGGCTTTCAATCCTTGCCATATTTTCGAAAATCCCTAGGGTTAGAAAACCCTAAATTGTAACATCTCGGGATTTCAGGTATTTTCGAATCCTCCCTTTATTATTATCTTTGTCATTTTTAGTCCTTGGGAATAGAAGGTTGTATTGCCCGACATCGTCTTTACAGAGAAGTTCACACATAACTCTTCTAAGACTTTGGTAATAGAATCATTCAACACCTTTTTAATCAACTGTTCTTCTTGTTTGATTCACTTTTCTTTTAAAGGATCTGTCGATCTAAGTTTATTGTTTCAACAAAAATTAGTTTGGTACTCTCAATGTCATTTATCATCTTATCAATGTGCTTGTTAACCACATGCGCTCCATTAATCAACGATAATTTACAAGACACCCATTGCCAATAATAATAGTCAATATTAGTGTGTCAGTTAACCACACACACTCCACTAACGACTAATAATGTGCAATGTACAATTTCATGGGTTTGCATCAAATCCATATTTTTCCTAAAGTAACTAAGAGTGGAATTTTAGAAAATAGTTTAGTTACTTTATATCGTTATACTTTTAATGAGATTATGTCCTATCAAACTAGTTCGGCTAATGACCCTCTTGCCATACAATAGAGCGGTGCGTAAGAATGAATACCCAATGACGGTCATTTCATAGGCTGTTTCCTTAAACTCCCCTTATAGTATGGCTTCGTGAATGAGGTGTACTAGCGGTTTGACTAAATTTTCTTATACATATAATATATATTAAAATTTTAATTATATAGATAGTATAAGGTGTATTCTAAAATATTTTAGAGTAGCAAATGTTTAATCCTTTAATAAGTTAAACTTTTAAACTTAATTAAATTTAAACCAATTTATGGATTTATTAATTATCTTCTAATCATTCACTTAATTAACTTAATAATAAAATCCATAAGGATGTATTTTAAACTTTTTAATTACTCGTGTTTTTAAATCTTTAAATTCGAAAATTAAAACAATTTTAATTTAAATTCAAAATTCAAAAACTTTGATTTACTAATTATCTATTAATTAAACATTTAATTAATTTACTAAATCATTTGGGGATTATCCATTAAATTAATCATAATAATTTAACGTAATCCATCTTTCCTAAATTTCAAAAATATGGAAGGGATAATTATAAAATCCTATAATTATCTAGTTATCTAATTAAGGAGATAATTACCAAAAATAACAACCCTCCAATCCCATAACTTTCAAAATTACCATATCTTGGGGAGGAAGGCAAGGCTTTCAATCCTTGTCATATTTTTGAAAAACTCTAGGATTAGAAAACCCTAAATTGTAACACCCGTGGATTTTAGGTATTTTCAAATCCTCCTTTTAATATTATCTTTGTCATTTTTAGTCCTTGTGTCACACCCCCAACCGCGACAGCGGAAACGTCTGGGGGAGGGTGACTTCATCTTGTAATATCATAAAAGTTGATTATAGATGAGACATAGCAACCAAACATCATACATTATAGATAACAACATGCATTGTTTACAACTTTGTATTTGCTCATGAAATTACATCCAAAAATAACACAATTTATGATATTTCAAAAATACAACAATTATCCAAAATCCATAGCTCCAAAACCTCCTTACTGAGTCTTTGAGAATACAAGTTGTTTTGAAAAGCGTCAACATAGAATGCTGGTGAGTTCATATGCATATTTTAAGAAAACTTTGTAATAGTTTGTAAAACTCCAGAAAATCCAATATTTTCTGTAAAAATAGATTGATTGTCTCATTCCAAATCATATATAATTGCATGCGTGTTCTTTGTTTTCCCTTGTTTGAATTTACAAAGAAAGTGTTCTTAGAAAACCTATATTTTCTGTTATACGAGGAGTTGGGGTCTTAAAACCCTAAGACCCAAGTGGTGAAAATTTTACAAAACAGTTGAAAGATAGTTTCATGTTTTATAAAAACAGTAGAGTGTATAAAATTTAGCGTAACTTCGAAATATTAATGTTATTCTCTATGTGAGTCGTTACAACCATACTAATGTGACTATAGCACCTGTCTTTGATGTTCTTAAGGAGTCAGTTTCTAATAAAAAAAATAGTCACCCTAGACTAGCCTGTCTAATTGTAGCGAACTGCTCAGGTGTGGGGGTGTCAACCCCGTATAGATCTATACACAATATCCCACTCTCCCTTTAGGAGACTCTGATTATAACTACAAGACTTATGGTGTATGCTA